GCTGGAGACTTTTGTTCTGCTACTCGAGGCTCTGACCTCAATTAAGTTATGAATTTCTATCTGATAGACTGGGAGCGCTTGGGGCCTGCCGTGGCCGCGCTACCACGCTGGATTAATTAGAATTAGCGGTGCTGCGAGTCGCCCTCCCCGCCTCATGGATCATGTTGTTTTAATACAAAGTAGAGGCGGAGGAGGCGGGGAGGGATAGAGCGAAGCGGACGGGAGCTTGGGGGGAGGGGAGAGTGATGAGGAGAGGAGAAAGAGAGAGACAGATAGAAAAACAAACAAAAAAAAAAAATGCAGGAATGAGTCTAGTAAAAGCATGCGAGACGCATCCATGTGCTTCAAACCTGTGCTGCCTCGTCCTCTAATCACCTCCTCTTATTTTAAGCCTTAACAACGTTTCCTTCCTGCCATTGTGTTTGTGTTGTGCTAACCTGCATCTCACCTGTCCTTCCTCTTTGTCAGCCTAATCCCGCCACCGTCACTTACCCTCTGAGTAATTGCTCTAAGTCAGACATTGTGTAAGTCTACTCTGGGCCATTCCTGACCTTTGTTGTAGTATGAAAAACACCTCTGAACCAAAGCTCTGCCTTCTCGACTTTAGTTCCCACAAATGGGCACGTCCTTTCTATAAATGCATTTCCATGGCAACCTGAAAGCTTGTTGGGAGGGTCAGAGGAGGGTTTGGGATTTCCACCTGAAAAACAAAAGTTGTGTGCGTGTGGGATGAAGCTTAGCTGTGGGTGTGGGATTACAGCGTCTGGAGAGAGAATGACCACAGGGAGAGCAGACACACACAAGCACACGTCTAGACCACTGAAATGACACTCTGCAGCCGCTAGCTATACACACAAAGAAACATACTGTCACCTAACGTCACCAAATTCCTGAGATTTTGCCCATTTTTCAGTGGCCTATCTTCACTTTCAGCGATAATTTTTTAAAGATTTTTTTTTTTTTACTTTATAGATCAGCTAACAGCAGAGAGACAGGAAAAGTTGAGATGGTCGGCACCAGGATGCCAAAACCTATATCCTCAAAATAGGATCACCAAACATTAATACCTATTTCTTACCTTTCTTACTTACCGTACTGTTTGTTTTGTGTGTTTTGTTTTGTGTCTATATTGTAAATGATGTTGATACATCTCAGTTTGTCTGGTTTTGGTTTGGTTTACTATATACAGTACATATAAGATGCAACATAACAGACTTTGCCGGGTACAGACTAATACAGCCCTGAACTTATTTCTATTGTTGTTTATGCAGCCCAGTAAGCTTTACCTAGACACACTAAGGTATTCAATGTGTAACATTATTAAATACGGAAAAAAATAACAACTAAAAAACTAGAAAATGTAATCTCTATTCTATTTTTATATCTGCTGTAGACACATTCAATCTTGCTGTAAAACATTTTTTTAGCTGAACTAGGTTAAAAACTTGTAATTAGTGCTGTCAATCACCTGAAATGTTTCGACACCGCTGAGAAATGAAGAATGAAGCCAAACCTGTCAGATGCATCAGTGTTTGATTTTATCTTAAAACAACGCAGCTACAGAGGAACTGTGTTTAATAAAGGATAGTGTAAAATTAGCAAAGTTAATTAAAGTTACATTCTTGACCTGGGTTAAGGCTTTAGAAGAAGTGTTCAGAGAAAACAGAAATTTGAATCGACAATGCCCATGGCAACTGGGCAACACAATTTGGTGAAGATGATCATGTGATTTGATTAAAAGCTCCAAAAGCTTGTCAACAGTAAAATAATTATTCATATCAGGAAGTATTTAATTGAAGAAAAAGTAAACTAGACGAAGAATCTGACCAAGAAGTTGATGTCAGCTTTTGCAAAAAGGGTACTGAAGTTTGATTCAAAGTCATATTTGTAATTTAGTCTGTTTAAACAAAACCTAGTCATTAAACACTAATTAAATTCTATTGTTGGATCTGTATTCATTACTGTTGTGATATGAAGGAATGTCCTAAACTTAAGCTTATTCCTCATTAATGCTCTTAAGTACATTCTAGCACACAGAATATAAGTCCAGTGTTTGAGCCTTAATTTCCATTATTACATTAAGTGAGGTTTTATTGTCATCTTTCCCACAGTTGGTGCTGTCTGCCCTACTTTCTCTGGGTGTATTAGCTGAGGGAGCAGTGATACGGTGGGGGTAGGGGTGGATGGAAGGGGGTGGGGGTGGAGTGAGGTGGTGGTGGGGTGGGGTGGGTGGGTTAACGTACAGTACCAACACCAGGGCCTGATCTACAGTTGGCAGGTGGCAGAGCTGTGATCTGTGTATTCAAACACACACAGCTACCTATTGTAGTCCCACCCTGCCTTGATCCAGGATTAACTATCAAACGAGCCCTTAATGCAGGTTACCAGGGTTTGGGAACAATTCACTAAAACAATCAGTTGATTAATTTCAAACGATTTTCCTCCTCTGCCAAGCAAATAATAATACTTTTTGTTTTAACTCTCAAGTCCCCCTCCCCTTTTTAATCAACAAATTAAGCATAAATCATGTTTGATCTTTATTTACTGGTTGCTCTGCAGTTGGTAGAGGTCAAGAGAGATTACTGGTCGCTCTAATAGCCTGCAAACAAACCAAACATTCCTTTATTCCTCTCATGAACACACACAACCTCCCATACTCTTTGTTTCATGTGACAGTGGCTTTGGACAAAAAGGACAGAAGCATTAAACCATCCAATTTCTTGTTTTTTTTATAGTTCTCCAATACAACAAAATTGCTACTTTCCTTTCCTTCTTTTCTCTCCTTCATTCCTCATTGACATGACCCCAAGAAAAAAAAAAAACACAAAAGGATGTTCGAGCAGGTTCTAATGAGAGGCATATCGTTCTGTAAGCTTCACATAGTGAGATAATTTGGCATTGCGACAGAGTGATATGATTTAGCTGACTATATTTTTCTCTCAGCCACCTCTTTGCCACCTCATAAATCTGCTACCAGTTACTGCTGCAGAGGTCCGGTTTCTGTAATATTCAGTCTCCTCCACGGCCGGCTTCCTCTGACACCTGAGAGACAGGCAGGTGCAAAGGTCCCGATGGCCTGAATGCATGAAGTCATGTGATGTCTATACTGTGATTGGCTCCAAAATCCTGCCTCTGACACATTATTTTAACTTTTCCTTCCCTCACATACAGATATTTGCTCTAAAAGGCTCATTTTAAAAGCAAAACAGGATTTCATATAATTAAAATTCATACAAAAATTATCATTCTCAGCCTCTCTGTGTTCCATTACAAATGATATAAAGAGGAAAATACAAACCCTGGATTATTTCCCTCTGTGTGTTATGATATGAAATGAAGTAGAATCAGACAAAAACGTGCGCTGGAAATAAATTAGGAGTCGGCTCAAATTCATCCATCCAATATCACTACCTGGCCAAAGATTTATGTTCCCTACTTTCACTGCTGAAAACTCTTGGCACCTGTAGAAATCAATTCATATTTTAATGATAGATACACGACTGTAAATACGCTACATCTTACAAAAGGACAAAAGCCTCTATCTATACATCAATCCTCTCCTGTCATTATCTTGATATGGCTCTAAATCATCAGTGAAGTGTTTCGTAGTTATCCCACTGTTAAGTCTTTTATGAACCATTCGCCACAAATCCACCCCCTCCCTGCTGCATTCAAAACAAAAGGGGCCACGCATGACCACAAAAGAGAAAGTCATTTGTGAAATGTCCTGATTATGTGGGTTGTGCAACGTAAAACAATTTGCCTGATTACTTCCAATTGATTCGGCCTTACAATTAAAGCCTCAGTGTGCAGCCCCCGTGTACTGCACTGTGTCGTGCCACTGGGCAGGGAAGAGGAGTAATTTCTCCGATGTGCAGCTGAGCCAGCTTACCGCCAAAGCTAAAGCCTCCTGAATGCAGCTAAACCTTGGGAAGGCTAAACACTAGGCTAGCTACCAGCTAACTCTGTCTGCTAAAGCCCTGGGGGATTTGTCTGTGGCACAAAGTGAATTAAAGGTGACCTTCTGGAAAAGGATGGAGAGAGAAAAAAGAAGGGCAGCTGGGATGCTGAAGATGTCACTATTTGCCTTGGGTTAACACGTGTGCTGGGCAGTGTTACTAGGAAGTATAAGGCTCCTGCTGCCTTCCTTTCATCTCCACCCTCACTCCCTCTATCCAGTGGGTATCAGTGTGTGCACACACACACACTGATACCCACTGCGTACTGTAGTGACTTCTGAAACAAAATCCATCTACTTCACCTCAGCAAACACATTTAGCTCAAACCATTTCTACTGTGTCAATCTGTATTATGCAAAAAAAAATGCATTGCATGAATATGCATGTAAATGCAAATGAAGCTGCATGCATGAAAGTTATGCTCTTCCATCACCAAAAAAAAGAAAACTGTCCCTCAGTCCAGCTCTCAAATTAAGTATTTTATGCAGTTGCAGGGGTGGAATCTAATAACAAACAGACACCTGAAAAGCTGCTCCAGTTCTGGGACAGTTGCTGATCCACTTGCCCTCGTTCCTCAATATATTTTCCCGTAGAGGGTTTCTGTCATCGATCTTTTGGAAGAGATAAAAGATAATACTGGGTGTTTCTGTCCATTTACCATGCATCTAATACTTCTGGGGGCTGTATGTCAACAAAAAACCCATTGTTATAACTTTGTCAAATATGAGAAATGGAAAAATAAGAACTGGAAGATAAAGTAGCCTGAAGTCAGTAACTCCATATGAACCATTCCAGGGAAATATAGTTGTCTTTATGGTAGTCTTCAATTTCAGAACAAGAGGGGCTAATTAGGCTTCTACTCATTCATTTTCTGAGCAATTGCCACAACAATCACTCACAATGTCACAACCTGCGCTACCTGGCTACCAAAAATCAAACTTTCACCAGCGATCACCTGTTGAAAAACTCTTTGTGGTACAATTTTGTTTTAAAATGCACAGCAAAAACCCAGGAAGACAAAGACAGACACATGCTGCTCACCTGACTGTTGATGTCTGCTTTGTGCTGCAGTAATACAGACACCAGCTCCTTGTGTCCTCTGTCACAGGCCCAGTGCAAGAGAGCCCGGCCCTGCAAACACACACACAGAACAAGGATACTGTAAAAGGCCTGTACAAAAGTTTGAAAGTACAAGTAAACATTCAACAGCATGGGAATATTTAAATTAGCTTTACTGTAGGCAATGTCATGTCTGTTTAGGTTGTTATTTCAGACAGGGTTGTGTGATCTGTTATAAATGCACAAGAAAGGGAATCTTCCTCTATCTCCTGTGCCTCAAACACAGCCAGACTTCAATCAGCTTCTTTGCTTCCAGACAAAATAAATTATGCACAACCATTCAGAACTCAGAGCCTTTGGACCAAAGCTCCATAATGATCTGTGGACAGAGTGACGAGATATGTGGACTGCTTGGTGTGTGTGTGTGTGTGTGTGTGTGTGTGTGTGTGTGTGTGTGTGTACACAAGGAAGAGCCGTAGGTGGTTCAAGCTTACACCGAGATCTTCAGGACAAATTGTCTGTAAAGCTTGATTGATGTGCACAAAACAAGAGCAGCTGATCAGCAGCCCCCTATTCTATACCACATGGGCGCACCCACGCACACACACACACACACACACACACACACACACACACCTCCTTAGGTCCAAGATCCTTGTTCTAATAAAACCACACAAGCTCATTTTTCAGTGAGGCCAATTAGGTAAAGCAAACTCTCCGAGTCCAGTTCTGTTGCTTAAATCATATTGATCACCGTGGCTGCATGTTAAAATGGATACTTATGAGCCAGGCCAGAATACCAATAAGCTGGTCGCTCTCTCTCTCCCTCTCTCCTGCTTCTTTCCTGCTCTCTTCCAGGTGTGCTGCTGTTGACTGCTGACCACATTTTCACTGAGGACCAGAGTTTACTACTTCCAACAGGAGACTGCACGAACTCCGTGTTACATGAGCTATTTGGGGTGTTGCAGTGATTATCAAGAGCCTGAACGTGTCAAACAGAATAAGTGCAGCATTCAAAGTTGAGAATGCAACATTTACAGAAACGTTCAGAGTCTCGGCCAGCCTCTGTATTTAGAAGAGAGGACATTCAGAATGGTCTCCTCTGAGCTGATAGAGCTGCCTTTTCAGGGGTGAAATAGCCTTTTATCAAGGAAGGCAAAAACCTCACGTGAGAAATGTTAAGCACACTCTACTCAAGTGGGTAGAGTGTATTGTCTATTGTCTTTATCTGAGGAGGTTGGCAAATACCCGCTCACTGTGGAGGACAGAACGTGGCTATATAACCGGACTAGCAATGGTAGGACATCTCTAACCAGACAAAACATATATATATATATATATTATATAGAAGGGTAAGGTTTTCACATCTATATATATAGATGTGAAAACCTCACTCTTCTATCTCATCTTCTTTCTCTGGCTCTGTCCCATTATACAAATGTGTAGTTTTGCATGGTTGACTCAGGATGCAGAGGAGGCAAGTGTGTTGCACATCTGAAAAACTTTAACATGCAATGTAATTCTAGTAATCAATTTTATTGATATGGTACCTTTCTCTTTAAAGATCAAAAACACTTTAAATATTAAAGTAAAGATTAAAAAGGTTAGTGTTCTTAAAGGAAAACACACAGATGTTGTCTGTTGGATAATTACTGGCAAATTATTTCTGAGTTTTAGTTCATAAAAACTGAAGGCTGCCTCTTGAGGCTTCTTTGTCTTAGCTGCAGGTAAACTTTACCGACTCTTGATGCACATATCTAATAATAAGAAGTGCAGTAATTATTAGAATGATGATGACAATTGTTTTTATTTGACTATAATTGTAATGCTTGATGGCTACGGTATTATTTATTATTTGAAAAAAATAAGTCTGAATAAATCTGAGCCTACGGAACAATGGGCTACTAGAAATTCGCATGAATGACAGGATGAGTTCATTAACCAAGCAAATCCTAATGTGTTCTCAAAATCTTCCACACACTTGCAGACTTAATTGGTAACTAATTGGCATTGTTGTCAATAAGTTAATACCAGAAACATGTAACACAGGTGGACATTTGGTCACAGACCCACAGAGTATCTAATGGGACAGTGTCCATCTCTCTGAGCTGCAGAAGCAGATAAGGCTTCCTGCTGATGTGAAACTTCACCATTGCCCTCTGCTGTTGAGCAAGCAGTACTGCAGAAGACAACATTTGCAAGACAGACAAAGCTTTCTCTGCTGCTGTGGGCCCTCAACCATCTGGTCTTTGACTGGGAACTCACCAGCCGTCTGCCTGCTTATCTGAAGAGCGTGTGATGAAAGAGAGGCAGGGAGCGGGCCATTTGGCCTGGCCGATAATGAATCAAGGACACACGAATGGATTTCAGGGTCAATCCAGAAAACACCTTGCGATGCTAATAATAGCTGTTCACACAATTTACGCACCTCAGCCTCAGGAGCGGTTCCCATGTGTTTGTGGCTTCAGATCACTGAAACCATTATGTAATGACTGCGAAAGACTATCCCCCAGTGACCTGTATTTTTCATGATACTCCTCTGATCATTTTCACCTGCCCTTGTGCGCAAGGGGTCAGAGCACAGGATAGCAACCCTGCAGCTGGTATGGGATTCAGTATATTGCTAAAAGACAGTCAATGCTTCTTGCCGCTGGGGGTTGAACGTGAATCCTGTGGTGAAATGTTGATTTCCCTAATCTACTTCGGGCGTGTTACCTACATTACATATAGATGGTACAGCGTTGTCATGGTAATAATCTATTCAAGTAGCACTATGAATTGATACTCTCATATGCCACATATGAAAGTTTCACTTTGCATATTTCTCGGCACTGTGCTTTGTAGTTACCTCTTCGTCTTTAGTATTGACATCCACTTTCTGGGAGCTGATGGCCTTGCTGATGTGGTCGATGTTGTTTTCTCTGCAGTAGTCAAAGATGTTCTTGTCCTCTTCCCTGAAAGTGACACAGACATTGAGACAAAGAGAGAGAGAGAGAGAAAGAAAGGAAAATATACAGTCAACTTTATTTTCTGGACCATCATTTGTAGTTAAAGGATCAGATGACATTGCTTTGGTTTTACTTATATTTTTGAGATATTTCATAGTGAGTCTCTACCACAACATAATGGAGGTGAATGGCGTTTTGTTTGTGGTGCTCAGACCTTTCAAAAGGTTTTTAAAAAACGATGAACAGCAACATTTCTTTTCCCACTCAGTGTCCTCGTTATGCTGAATAATCCAAAGAGCTGACTGAACAATTTTCCTCACAACTACTTTCTACTGAAGAAATATCCCCATGAAAACAGTCAGTGTGTTTTGTCTATTATGCAGATGTTTTAAGATTTTGCTGTTGGCACCAGGAGCTAAACTCCATTCATCCCTATTGTACAGGCAGATGTACAGTATGTCTCAAAACCAGGGCAACAATAACCAAAACTCTGCGGTATCTGCATGGCTAGAAAGTGGGGAGTGTGGAAAGCAAATTCTATTTTACTACAGTATTTAGTCAACAGACGCACGCACGCACGCACGCACGCACGCACGCACGCACGCACGCACGCACGCACGCACGCACGCACGCACGCACACACACACACAACTCTGATTATATCTCTGTGTCTCTAATCACCTCCTGGCATTGGGGACAGGACTGAGTGGTGGTAGTGGTGGTGGCGGCGGGGTGGGGTGCATGTTGGTGGTGGAGGGCTGCAGCAGGGTGAGGGGGAGAGAAGGGGCGAAATCTCATTTAGAGCTTTACGCCTTCCCCTCCCGCTTAACCATGCCGGCCATTCAGATTAATTGAATTTAGTGCTCTATTGTCTGACAGAAAGCCCACATACCCGCCACTGTATCACTCCCACGCAGTAAGTCAGTCATCCCCCAAGGCCAAATCCCCCAGTTCCCGTCTGTGACGCCTGCTAGCTCTGCCGCACTGGGCCTTACAAGTCCCACAGCACACACCTGGCTCCAGCCACACAGGAGCCACTGTGGGTTGTTGCCACATTAAGACTGAGGATGTTTGGTGTTTGGTGGTGAGAACGTGCCCTTAACCATGTCATGGTTAGAGGTACGATTACTCTGTCACTTTGATGAACCAGCAGTCTGGCTTTAACGCTTATAAAGGTAAGTTCCAAAAGGTCAGCGAAACAGTGGATTGCAGTCATACTTAAAACCAAAAAAAAAAATCGCTTTGTATCCAACCAAAAACCACCCAGAAGCACCGCTGGACATGCCTATATACACTGATCAATTTTGCACATCAAGAACAGTTCATTTTAATGAAATACTGTCTTCTGTGGCTCTGGAGGGGCTTTGTCAAATCTAGAAAAGAAAATAGTCATAGTAATGTCATTGGGATCTTGGCTTAGACTTGGAGACTACAAATATTTAATGGAAAGCCTGCATTAGTAACTGGGTTTATCCAGCAGGCAGAGAACAACAGAGAAGGTCTAATAAAGATGCAATTGAGTTGCATTATGGAAAGTGTAGGATCAGGTGTTTTCTAGGGACTGACCCATATCAGGGACTAAAAGTCAGGATAACTTCAGCCTCTCCTGTTTGATTTTGACCATTTTTTAAATAAATGTTACTGCAGTACTAAATTGCTGGAGAACCACTTTAATATGGCAACCTATCTAATTATTTTACTGAAATTAAAGCCGCAATATTAACAGGAATAAAGAACGCTGCACAGAATGCAGTTGGTAACAACTAAGCGCATCAAGACAATTGGTTAACAAGGGATCGGCTGCATGCATTTCTTAATGCAGTACTTAATACAGTTGTTTATAAATTGTATCAATGATTTAATGGAGGAGTACTGAGTAATGGCTAGGAATGTATAATTGTATACTTTGTACTTTTTCAACATTGTTATTCTTGTTTTCTTTTTTACCTGTTTTTTATCGTTTCCTGTTTCATGTTCGAAAAGAATCAAATTCATTCAGTCATTCATTTATTATTACAACCACTGGCCAAGTTTGATACCAGGACCACCAGTTTGCTCAGAGAATCACAATAGAGTTCCTCAGTCCCAGTGAGATCCTCTGGCTTACAATATCAGCCCTGACTCCATACACATCTGGATCAACTATGGCTTATAGCTACAGGGGAGATAAACCTCTCCTGCCCACAATCAGCAGAAAGTTCTTTACTGAACCTATGCACTTCCTTTTCTTCATCTTTTCATCTGCGTGGTTTCTCTCTCCCACTTTGCTCTTTCCTCCCCCTCCCTCTTTCCCTGCCGTTTCCTCATCAGCCTGTGATGAATTATGAATAACTCATTACACTTTTATCACAGCTAGGTTATGTATGAGCACATTCATTTACATACTCCTGATTACCAGCACAATGTTTATTCATGAGTCTCCACACTGGGCCACACCCACTTCCTTGTCTGATGGCCACAGTGACCCCAGGTGTCCCTGACGTGTGGCCGCCATCCGTCTCCCCCGGCAACTAATCAATAGGCCAGCTCATCAGTCTTTCGTCGATGATCGGACAGGGCTGGCCTGTCGGGCGCATGACACCCTCACATGTGCAGAGCACAAGCACACACGCAGCTAAGTATGTAGTGTAAGGTTATATAATATACACTATAATAAGCTCAAATATGAATGTACACACACAGGTAACACCTGTATATAGTCTGTACCACAGTGACTACACATGTATCCACACAGACACAGACACAGACACCCAGACCCACACCCACCCACCACCCACCCACCCACCCACACACACACACACACACACACACACACACACACACACACCACACACACACACACACACACACACACACACACACACACACACAGGCTATAAACAAACAAATGATTAATGTGGGTCCTATAAACGACGTGACATCAACAGTGCCGCAATGCATGCTGGGAAGGTCACAGGCTACTCTGTCTTCACAACAGCTGGGGTACCAAGGATTTCATGTGTGTGACTGTGTGTGTGTGTGTATATATATATATATATGTATAGATTATATATATATATGTGTGTGTATGTGTGAGAGAGTGTTATGTGCTCACATGTGTGTGTCCAGTCTGGTGTACTGGCAGATATGTCCTTCATCCATCAGACTAAACTGGCCGCAGTAGTGGAGAACACTCATCTACCTGGCCTGAGCTTCACTGATCAACACCATGGCCACACCATCCATCACACACACACACACACACACACACACACACACACACACACACACACACACACACACACACACACACACCTGTCATCACTTCGCCTATAGGACCCTGGTCTACACTCTCAACATGGCTGGGCTCCATGGAAGTATGAGAAACAATGAGAACTCAAATAACTCAGCACTGGCTTCCAGCAAAGTGTCCGGACAACAAAACCTCCAGTGTTAATCAGAATGCTTTTTCAAGGTGGGTGAGAGAATTACAAATGTAGCTTTCAAAGCCTCCTCAATCACACACTGATCAGCTCAGTAGCCCAGGGATATTGCTAATCAATCCTGCTTTTGTCGATACACATGCCATCCACACATACACACTCTGAGCTCGAGATGAGCACTGAGCAATGCAATTAACTCTCTGTCTGGTTAACAGGTGCTTAGCTGTTTAATATGGAGTGGGTCTGTGTATGTGTGTGTTTGTGTGTCTGTGTGTGTGAAAGAGGAAATTGAAATGCAGCAGAGCAGTGAGTGTGACAGTTCCGGCAGGTTGTGCATGGATTTGGATGCAATCGCGGCGACCTATAGCGGCAAGTGTATGTTTATGTGTGCACACATGTGCATAGGTGTGTGTACGTGCTGTGTTAATGACTTCCTCCTTGCCGGTTTCCCTCGGGGCATCGCTGCAACTGGATATCACCAAGGGGAGCACCGTTCTGGGAAACCTGCTGTACCCGCCTCCCTCTGCTGTACCCGGCCTGTCTTCATCACCCCCCTGGACTACCCCCCGAATCGTAACGTAATTAAAAAGGGGAGACTCTGGCCGCTTCTTCCCAAGACTGTGCATACTAATCACATACAGCCATTTAGGAGGAAAACCTGCAGGATTCACACATCTCATTTTCATCTGCAAAAGAGCTCTTTTTTCATTGAAATGAAGATGAGGTTTTTAAGCTTGAGTAAGTCTGCCAGGCAGAAGTAAATGGAGAATATATTTCATTAACATAAATCAGAACTGTATGACGTCTCCAGACCCTAACTGCAGTTATGGTCTGTTGAATATAATCAAATACAGCATCAAGACCATTGGTTAACAATGCCAGACTCAGACTGAGTTTACCTAAGCATTAAATAAGTGGTGATTCACAACCGGAGGAAAAAGCTGAGTCTGTTCAAGCACCCTCGAGATCTGGGAAAGGCTTTGAGATTCTTTGGCATCTGAAAACACAACTTAAGAACACAGAGTAGAATAAAGAGAGTGTGTGAGGTGTGTACAGAGTCAACAACGCACAATGTGTGTGTGTGAAACTCTTTAAGACGCTACTGTCAGTCCCTGTGTAATAAATGTAACCAATAGTTTCTGATGTATGCCTTGTCTGCATGTGTGTGTGTTTGTGTTGCTTCTGATGTAAATACCTGATCATCTCCTCCTGGTAGAGAGAGCTGACTGCTGCTCCTCCGAAGCCTGTTCTCCTTTCTGCTCCTTGTCTTTCCTGTGAAATAAAAAACAGTCAGACATTAAAGAGCAATGTCCCTCTTATGCACAGTTAAAGCTTCTTCGGTGATAAACAGTGTCACCAACCTAGTCTAGTTTGGCTTAGTTCTGTAGCCTGTTTCCATCCTATATGGACAGAGGAACTGACCTTGCTGTTTTGTGTGCTCAAAGCAATACAATAGGCGTGGGTTAATCTATTCACCATGAATGGATTTACCTATAGCCTTTCCCCTATAGCCTTTCCAAAGCTAACGCGCACCAGAGATAAAGTTCAAAATGTGTAATTTTCAGACACAAGTCATTGGAGCTTTAGACGTGACCTCACTGCCAATAAATAACCAATAACATGAAACAGAAGAACATAAAATATATTGCGCCTCAGTTTGTGACTGTTGTTAATCTTTTGTATCTTCATGGAATTCCATACTACATTCAGTTCAGACTTTATTACCCGGCCTATTCTTTGCTGACCAACCTTGACTCACAAAAGAACCCACACAAATCTGATTTCAGAAAATGGGGAGAGTGGGGAAGAACATGACAAGCGAAGCAAAACAACTGTGCGAGCACTTTTGGGACAACCTAATTCACTTCAGAAACTCAGAATATTCGCTGATGCACTGGCCCTGCTCCTCTGCAGTGTAATGTAATATAAAGCCAGTGTCTGCTCAACAATTGAGACAGGAACAGAGGTCAAATTCTGGCTATTATTCTCTCCCCTGCTTCTCTGTCTATGCACTCCTACTTACACCATTTTAACTGTGCTTCCAAAAGAATAGCCACCGCTATGCTAAGGTGCTTTGTTAACACAAATACAATCAGCTTCTTTTCAGGGGGGTTGGGTTGGGTCATTTGTGCGTTTGCTGGCCTGTCTGCTGAGCTCTCTGCTGGCATTGTGCAGCTGTGGGGCAGAGTCAGCGAGTATTGCCCCGCAGTGTGGCCGAAGACAAAAGAATGTGTCAGGATTGGACATGTGGTTGACAGTGACACTATTAACGTGACACAAATATGGATGGAGAGCAAAGAAAGAGGAGGGATAGAAGTAATAAAAGAATGAAGGGGTTAAAGAAGAAAAGATGGTGGGGGAAAGATTAATAGAGGAAAAGCAGGTAGCACAGAGGTGGATAACAAAGAGGAGGGAGGTAAAGGACCAGTAATGAAGAGGTCAGGGAAGCCAGAGGGAAAGTAGACAATGGGAAGAAAAAATGTGTGAGCAATGCGACACTGCTGTAGCTCTCACATAAACGTTTCTTATTTTATTTTTTTCAGTTATAGAAAAAAACACAACCTTAATTCATCTCTCTGGGGCTGTGCTTGTAGAGCATTATGTGTCTGTGAATCCACTCGCATCTTTTTGGAGAGGTTACTACATTTGTAGAGGGAATCCACAGAGTCTAGTCAGACGTTTGACTCATGTGGATGTGGCAGGCATCTTCAGGTGCGAAGCTTTCCAATAAAGTGATACCAATTTCCCTTAATTACAAGCTACTGTATGGCAAATGGTAGCCCTAACACCAAGGATAAAGTTTTTAGTTACTTTGAATGTGTCATTTCTCTAAGCATCAAAATGTAAAAACTTTTTTTTTTGGAAATCAAAGTTTTTGTTGGTTACAACTATCATTTGTAGGTATACAAAAAACATACATACATAAAACAACCATGCTATAACAGACTTTTAAATATACCCTTCAACTTATACAAAACTGCAGCCTGACTATTTTGACATATATGGCAACAAGGTACAAAAGTTTATTTTGAGGAGAAAACTTTGATCTCAAATATCAAATAAATTAATTTTTATTGACTAATGGAAATTCACTAAACTTAGCAGTATGGTCAAGTATTTTCCAAGATGATGTAGACTAAATTTAGAAAAAATTTTCATAATGTTGGCCTACTAGCAACCATCACAATTTTAGAACATTATTTTTTTTAATGTAAACCTTAAATGTAAATTAAAGAACAGTCTCAGACTTAGCTTTGAAAACAAGTTTTAAAGAAATGCTAAACTCCTATTGCTGCCAGCTTCTACAAACTTTTTCACACTGAGCTTTATTTGGGTCAGAACTGATGCTTTTTAAAGAATGAACTGTATCTCCTTTATAATCTTGCACAGCCATCAGTTGGGCTTTGCTCAACGCAAGAATATTTATTTAGCACACATTTTGACGTTACCCATCACCCATGACAAGTCTGTTCTTTTAAGTGTTCTATTAATAATACTCTTCAAAACTAAGCAGACGGTATAAGTTGTTGTTGTAACTGAATGCTTTAGCCCCAAAGGACAATCTGTCCATGGCAACAGAACTCTCATGACAGTCCAATGACTCAACGCAGGAGTGTGTAGAGATGTAAACAAACCCTCTTATGTCACGATACACACAGGCACATCTCGACAGCCATACTGTGACAGTTTCTTGCATTATTCATATCCCAAAATGTCAGCTATTGAGAAAGACAACATAATCTCCTCATGTATATTTCATGCTACATGTACAGAACAAAGAGTCACTAAAAAGCCTGATACAAAATGACACTGTGACACTGACCTCTACTGACAAAAACACAGCACTGCATCTTAAAAGGGCAAAAATGACACCTGGGTGGTTCCAAATTTCTATTTTTTTTCTCACCATGGGCCAGAGATGAGTTGTTGTTATACTTATGTTTATTTCAAATGTTAAGGCTTGTTTTAGTAAATATGGAGTAGCAGCTGGGTGGTAATTAGTAGCATTTTTTGTTATCAGGTAGGCAGATATAAGTTTACAGAAGAGTTTAAGTCTGCAGGTTCCAGCCAATATTCTCTGATTCGATGAAGTTGACCTTTTGCTCAGTTTCATCACTAAATTATCTCCATCAACCTTTAAGCAGGACAAAAAGATTGCAGCAAGAAAGATAACCAAGTCTGCAAGTTGCAGAGCATCTATGATTTTTACATTATTAATTTCAGAGTTTTATCAAACCTCCCTGTTCCTACTCATATAAAAGTGTGTCCTTATTTTTTTAATCACTTTGCTTTATTCAATATTTACTTTAGAATCTACTATACTACAAGAATGATAATAATACAAAGTTGTATAGCAAACCATATGCAGTTGTGGGAATCAGCTTTGACTTCTCAGAAATGGTTCTTGTTACCTTTGTTCTGCCTTCAGGGTCTAACACGTTGACACAGGAAATGTACTCCTGCATTGCCTGATCCGCCTCCATGTCTCCAAGCTGCTTCCAGGCCTGCCTGTAATGGTATCATCATAATTGTCATCCCTATCATCATCACCATTATCAACATCATCATCATCATTAACAGTTGCTGCACATTTTTATCTGTACCAGCTGTTGTAATGATTTACAGTGTATTTCGAAGTGGATGAAAGCAGCAACATAAAATGTCAACAAAACATTTCAATATGACATCTCATTCAGACTGAAAATGAAATTTAAGAGCATTTCACAAGTTTCTAGATGAATTTTATAATTAATTAGATTTACAAAAGATAAACTGGGGGCTCTTAATCAATAAGAGAATGACACGTAGTTTATTTCTCTCTCTCTCTCTCTCTCTCTCTCTCTCTCTCTCTCTCTCTCTCTCTCTCACACACACACACACACACACACACACACACACACAGTCACGCCTGGCGCAATGTATATTACAAACCACAATAAGAAACTCACCCATGTATTTCAACAACTATGTGCAAACCATCTATTGTAAGCTAGTCACCAAGTTTGGGCTACATACCATTTTCTCTGTCCTTCAAAGTCAAAGAAGCCAGGTTTTGGTGTATTGCACTTTCCCACTTTGACCTGTGAACACAACACAAGTGTAAATGATTCAGCAGGTTAACTAGGCCTAATAACACCAACTGGCAACATACAGCTATGGGCCTAAGTCATCTGTCAAACATCAGTGATGAAACATGAATGTTGAGCATTCACTACATGTGGCTTTCCATCTAAAGCATTATGGTTCTAGCACTTGGGGGTTTAAAATTGGCCTACGAAACCACAGCGCCATTAAGTCCGACACTCACCTGTTTGTAGCGAGCATACAGGTACAGCAGCTGGTCCCTGCTGGCCGTCTGAATCAGATCTCGTACGCGGTCGGCTGCAGAGTCAAACTCCCTCTCCAGCTCTTCACCCTCCAGCCGGTCCCCCATTTCCATGGCGCTGCAGTCAAATTTTCCCAAACCTAGGTCCGAGTCGGAGTCTGAGCCTGCTCCGCCGAGGGGCTCCCCTGTGTCGGGCCGGGCTGGGTCTGTACCTGAGCCCGTCGCAGTGTCCGGGGAGGACGACGGCGACCCAGAAGCCATTGTTATTGTTGTTTATAGCGTACCGCCAGACACGACGTGCACCGTGGATCCTTGAGCAAAATACGAAATGCAAACGGAGAGTCGCTGCCGGATAGATGTTTCTAAACTATTTCAGCGGCGGTTCCGTTTTTTAATCCGTTATCGTTGACAATCCGTGACAGTCGGATCTGTTTCTCCTGTTTGTCCGTCTCTGGTACTGTCAACTAAACGCCCCGCCAAAACTTCCTGCTAACAAGAAGGGTTCCGGTTGCAGTCGTGCCAGCGCTTCACGGTGCTCCTTCGGTAAGGAAAAACACGTTTAACAACAAAAAAAAATACAGAACATGACATTAGTATTGATGTTTTATTTTGGTAAAACTATGTTTTTGAATAAGGTAACAATGTCTACATGAAAATCAAACATTTTGGTGCGTTTTTCTTGTTTATGGTGTGCATGGTAACCACTCAGTTAACTAACGACAGTTATGTTAAATCCAACGTTAATGTCAGTAGCTAGCCTACTCATCCTCTGAACTTTATAAAAGAAAGTCAAGAAGTTGGTTGAAAATACGGTAAGCTGTTCAAATATAAATTATTAGCACTTTATCTCATAGCGTTACAGCCGCAAGCATTGTCTTTTTTTGGTATGTAGCCTGAAGTGTACGGCCTGATTTTTTTTGTTTGTTAGCTTACTGAGGTTAGCGACATGTTTTGCCTAGTGATATTTGCAGCCTTGTAACGCAGGTGAATTTAATTGGGCCTTTAATTAACTTTGCTTTATGACCAACTACTCGTTTAATTAATTTTCTGTCGAATATGAAACCAATTTGTCCTGTTTCTGTTTCAATCCGATTCCCTGATATTCCACTGCAATTGACATGATATTTATCTCGTGTCTGAATGTGAAAGTTTTTGTTGACACCTGTCATGAAATCAATCAGACGCATTGGCGGCATAATGCATTAGCGCATTTTGTCCACTAGATGCTGCCATTGGCACAATGATGAATTACCACCTGCTCTGTCCCTGCAACAGGATGACAGGCTGTCCCGGCTATCGCTCATTCGATTCACCTAAACAATACAAAACTGGACTGACTTAATAGCTTATTGGGCTAAAGTTTAAATCAGACAAGATATAAATAATCGGAAAGCTTTACATTTTATGACCCAAATGCACAGAATAGCCCACCCAAGGATATTTCTATAGTTTCGTTCTCATTACCTTAAAATCGGGGGAGTGTGGACACGATGAGATCCTGTAAGTAACGGTAGCCTATTATCTAGTTCTCCTAAAATGCTCTGCTTTTCCAGAGCATAAACAAAAAGGCTACTCTTCCATCAAAGTATCTAAGTAAGATATAATTGTAGAAAGTATAAGAATAGGCAGGACTTAATAAGTTTGCATGTCCATAACTCGAATAATCACAATTGCGAACAGAGGACGATTGAAGAGATGAGTCAATTATGATTTTTATAAAGCATGTTTACAGTCATTAAAGGCTATGTGATACTTGAATGGAGTTTTCAGTATTAGCTGGACACGGAATGTAATTAAATGTATTAGTATTTGGCCATTAGATTAAACTTGATCACCTTTTTTAATTTCAGACACACAACAGAAACACAAGCTTCTCAGCCGGCAGCACCTCAGACAAAAACTACTGAATAAAGACGGGGGGGTGGGGGGTATCCTGTGGGCTGTGCGTAGAAGGTGAGGGGATCCCTGGCCACCGCACTGCCAACACTTTTCACAGGAGGTCCCATCAACGCCCGGTGCCACTGCGCGCTCTGCTGACGCAACCACGTCGCTGTGGCTCAATGCGATGGCGGACCGCAGTGTCCCCAGACCTGCCCAGGGAGGGACGGAGCAAAGTCACTAAGCCACTCTCACCGGCTTCGTTACACTGCCGTCTGACCACCTGTTAAAGAGGGGCTGCAATCGTTGGCGTCCCTCCCGTGAAATAGTATGTGGGACGGGAACTGCTCGGAGTGCACTGACCAGGACGAGCCAGAAGTGGAGTGAAGATAGGAGCGGAGTGCGCCGGGCTGACGCGCCGCATGTTGAGCCAGCAACTTGACTGACATAACAAAAGTCGCGTCGACGGTGCAAGGGGAAAGCCGCTCTCGGATTTAACGGAGGTTTGAGGGGGACAGTTGTTACGGCAAAATGAAATTCGCAGAGCATCTTTCGTCCCACATCACTCCTGAATGGAGGAAACAGTATCTTCAGTATGAGGTAAAGTGAAATTGATCTTGTATTTAAAATAAAAGCCTTGTGGATATGGGTATGGACAAAACTCTTAAAAATACATCCTATTTACTTGGAAAGTATTCCAGGAAACTGGGAGATAAGGGTCAACATTAACTATGGTGAAAAATTTAAAAGCCTTTTTAAATATATTTTTCTTAGTTTCAGTGTAGCTCATTCCTGAGAGCAATAAACGACTGGGAAGATAAGGGATGCCCTATTGTTTATGGAAGGGAAATTGACTGCGGTTGTTAAGAACCATAGGGAGCATTCAGTGTTTATTATTATTGCTGTTTGCTGAGTTTACGACACCCAAATAAATTAGTTTACTGAACAACTGCATGTCTTTCATACCGGGGCAAATTAACAAAATAATTTTGTTCCTTATTTTAGCAATTCATAGTATTAATATTTGGAAAATAATTTCTTTAGCTTTGCTGTGTGTTTATTTTTCATACACTCTTTGCAAAACAAATATTGGCACCTTTGATATTGCATTACATTTTTTTTGTTCTATGTATTTAATTTTTTCTTAGTTTGTTCCTCATATAGCTGAGGGGCCATACATAAAGGAGAAAAAAAATGTGTCTATTGTCTATTGCTGTAATTCAAACAAAAATTCACCCGCTTTACATTATGCTTTAATTTTTATTACTTGGAACAACCTAACTTAACACAAGGGTAATCTTCCAGGAATCAGTTATTCGTTGTTGCAACATTTCAAATTTGCATCTCTAAATGTTCATCGTTCATCGAGTTTTGCACAGTTTAACAGAAATGGTTGTCGCTTGGAATCAACCTACAAGACTTCATGTACCAGGATATTCTATCTGGTTTTCTGGTGTCTGTGGATTTAGGGGGATCTTTGTGTGCACACATGGTCTTTGTTGGTGGTGTACACTACTTGAGGAGTATTTTATTTTCACACCCCACTTCTTACTGGCTCTATATTAAGAGCTTTATTGCAGACATGCAGTGACAGGACAGACTGCTCCGTTCCATTTAGCTCTATGAATTATAGACAAAGACCCTGTTCTCTTCAACCCCAGCAACCTACATCCCAGACTCAACAGAAGCTCACTGTACTGGTTTTATTTTGGAAACATGCCCTCAATATTACTCTTAAGTTGGATAATAATACAGCAGACATTTGGATCTATCCAGCCTGACATGAATGATATGTTGTCATCAGCATCTAATAAAAACCTCAGGCAGCATAATTCAAATGGAAAACAATTAAAGGGTAGTCAGATAATTTAGTGAACACAGTGGGAAAATTACATCTCTACCGTATAATTTCATTTTAATTAGTTGTTAACACACATGCACAGCCTTTCTGGGCTCTTTGTATGTACAGACTGCCGCACAGTGAGCCCAGGGACAGATGCATGGCCATACCAGCCATTTTACACCTCCAGTCTTTGCCTCGGCACTCACTGACCTGAGATGGATGATGATAGATTTTCTATGTCATCTGCATGTATTGATGTTATTGATCTTTATTAGATATAATAGTCTTGAAATGACATTAAAGTTTTAATATTAGAATTTTTGCAATATCTGTTAGTAACTTTCACTTGAGGCACTTTAATTATTAAAAACGCTCACAAGAGCAGATGATTGCATGTTTCTTATTAGATCCTACATAATCATTTTAGATAATATCTAAGTATGCTTAATTATTTTATTACTAGAAAAAATGATTTCTCTGAGCAGGAAAAATTGTCATTGTCAGTCTATATCTCTAAGAAATACTTTCATTAATTTCTATGAGAATTGAAAGCAAAACAATAAATCTGGTGTGAACACAACTGTAATCAGTCATTGATACATGATTCATATGGAGACAATGCCTTTGTTTTCCTTTTTTTTTTTTTTTAACCATACGAAAAACCAAGCCTATACAAATATATTGTTGTCACATGTGTAGCTATTGTTGATTTATGTAGAACCGAAGGATTGCTCCTTCATCAGGATTCTTCCTCAAATCTTAATTATATATAGGGGTTTGCAGTGCAGATGGGTTTGTGTGTGTTTGCAGCTGCCTTCAGTCTTTGTCTGACCTCTGTAAGCACGATTACCTTCGGAGTGGGTGGGTGGGTAGGTGGGTGGGGCAGGGAGAGATCGGGAAGAGAGCTCACACCTACAGATGATGGACATCAAAAGCTTTTATGCCCTGAGAAACCATTCAAGAGACAAGGACAAACATAAAGTTATTTTCAGGGAGTAAAGTCAGTTGACTTAATTTTTTAGTGGGTCACTGAGACAAAACAGACTTTAAAAAGAAATCAATTTTAATGTTACTCTGAAAAATGCAAAGCCTGGATATACTGCTGTGGTGCAACACTAACAATTGAGAGGTTGTTACAGATATCTTGAAAGTGCATTCAGCAAACATTTCAGTTTTTACATACATAGTGTTGCAGTGGCTAGTACTGGCTACTGCAGCCAACACAGCTGCTGTATTGTAATTCAGTTGTCTGTCTATTAAATGACACAGTGACACATTATTCCAGCAGGGCAGGCAATTTTTACCTGTAGTCCATGCAGTAAAAGGTGACACCTCCACAGTGGCTGTATCTGTGGCATATGCAATATTATAGCTGCCCACCTCCAAACTGTGATTTCAAGTGATATTCTGGCCTTTGTGTGCTAGTTGGATTAATTAACCCGGTGACCAGTTTTCACTCTCCTCCTATTTTTGCAGCATGCTATTGTGTGGAAATGTGTGCACTGCCTTTTCAGATTGGTCAGCTGGTTTCTATGCAGATGAGAAGGATGCGGCAAAGTGGCTGTTCCAGCAAATACAGGCTTTAGTTAGTAAGGCACTTCATCTGAACATGTAGGCATCGACAAGGCGATTGAGTGATCGAGTAATTAGGTGTGTGCTTTATCCTGTGGGATTGTAGTTATAAACCTATATGCTAAACAGCTGTTTGGTATGGAGATGTGCATGTCCTGCTGATTCCAGCGGCTTGTGCCAAAGGGCAGGGGATGTGGGTTGATAGGTACAGACAGAGTACTGTATGTCTTTAAATGTGATAGCCTTTAACAGCAAACATATATATATATATAAAAAAAAACCTGTTTTAGAAACTCACTGACGAGGGTTGGAATTTTCTTTCTTCTTCTCACTTTAATTTCTCTACATGCCCAAGGGTTTTTCATAAAAGCAAACTCAAATGTGTTACAGAATGTAAAATGTAAGGTATTATGTGAGGTAACAGTGGAATTTAAATGTGCATTGTATAAACTGAGAGAGATGGGTGTGTGTGTGTGTGTGTGTGTGTGTGTGTGTGTGTGTGTGTGTGTGTGTGTGTGTGTGTGTGTGTGTGTGTGTGTGGGCGAGAGAACAAGGCCACTTATGCATTTATGTCTGCAGTCTAATCACTTGTGTAAGCTTAGACGAGGAGGAGGAGGAGAGTGCATGTGGAGACTCAAATTTACAATTCAAACCAGCAAAGTAATATTACAGTATGAAGACAAAAAGCAGGTGCCTGTGTGATTTCAGTGAGTGATTGTTGTTTATTCAAAGGTGGAGCCTTGTCTTTCTCTAATTAAGTTAAGTGATGTAGTATAAATGTCTAAACGAGCAGAGTGAGCTTTGAATTGTGACAGACATAATGGAAATGATACATATACAGCATTGCACATCATCTATAGTTTGTACAATGGAAGTGTGATTTATCAGCATGTTCTACAAGATGAACATTATGTATACAACAGGCATGGCAACTGCTGAGAACCCCCTTTTCTATACCTCCCTCCTTCCTTCCATCCTCACCTCATCGTTCCTCCCCCACTGGGAGGACATCTGGTCCCCAACCAGACCTGCCCTCTGCTCCCCTCCTCCCCTCCCTTCAGCTTCTCCTCCCATCCTCTCTACTCCTCTTCCTACATGCAGGGATCCACTTAAATACAGAGCAAGGGATTCAAGTGATCCAACATTGATCCACCTTGTTTTCTGTTTGAGCAAGCGATCTCTTCAGACTAATAACACACACTGTATGATCTCCTCAAGCTCAGGATAACAATCTCAAGCATCTTAGAGGAAGACTTTGACCAGCTGGAATGCAAATATTTTGCTTAGTGTCCACTCAACATGTCACGGCTATAAAAGGATTGAATTTCATTGACAAAATTCAATGGAGTGGACACTCTGCAGTGTAAGGCTTAGTTGGACATAGTGACACAAGTGTGCTGTGTTCAGTTCAGTGAGTATGCATCATCATCACGTTAATGTATGGTCATTCAAACTGATGGCCCCATTAGGCTTGGCTTAGTTATTGTCTACAGGTTTCACCACTGATTATTGCCAAGCCTGAAGGTTTATCCCGATTCCCCAAAGAGCCACCCAGCCCCGCTTTGCCATGATTGCCATCACCATGGCAATGCCTCCATCTTAATGAACGCCTCCCTGTCTGGATCTGAATGTCTATTTCCCACCTATTAGACTGGTGGTGCTGGGGGGGGGGCTTTTTGTTCACCAGAGATTAGCCAGGACTGGGCCCTGCTCCAATGCTGTGTATACACAGTGGGTCTCCTGTGATCTTTATCAGACAAGGTAGAGAAAATGCTACATACACATGAAATGTTAACATCTTGGATTAGGCTGCAGTATCTGACTCTCATTGTGCATGTAACTCACAGAGGAACTTAAGTATCAACAATCCAGGCTGCTGCTAATGCACAGCAGTTTCTGAGAGGTTTCCACCCACACATAGAATTACTCAGACTCCTCTCTCACTGTCATGTTCAAAAAGCAGCATGTTCTATAGGAACCTGGGCAGAGAACAGTTTAATATGTGCAGAGGATAAGACAGGAAAACATGGAGGTTGTCAGATTTGGATGAGAGAACAATTTCCTCCTGTAACTTTTTGCACAATTTATTTCCATGTTGTAAGGAAAATGACAGTTAAGTTTGGCTTAGTGTTGTGCACTCTGAGCCTTGTAAACACACCGACTTAATGATTCAGAACTTAATAAAACTTCATAAAGCTTAATAGACAGACATTTTTCTATTTTGCTGGGGCAGTTTAGTTCCAAAGATACTTTATCGAGAAAGGAGATTCAGCCTCAGTCCAGTCTCTGATTACCGCTGATATGTTCAGATGAGCCAGTGCACAATTATCTGTCAGTTTCCATTATCTTCAATATCAATCTTATTGCAGAGAAACAACCTCATTTAACCACTGCAGCTATCTACCTCCTGTCTTTCTTTCTGTCCCTTGTATCTGTCAGTTTGTCTGTCTTCCTTCTCTCTTGATCTCTTTGCCCAATCTGCTGTTAAAATTAAAAAGATGTAAGCTTTGATAAAAGATATTGTTGTCAATTAAACTCTACACCTGTCAAAGGATCTTTGACTCTTACTGTTAATTTCAAAAGTCCAAACAACAACCATTGTTCTCGTTTTGTCATTTTAATTCTTTAATTCTTTTCAAAGTTCTTTGCAACCACTGTGTCTTATCCTTTTCTTGTGTGAATGAGTTCAGCTGTGTTGCTGCTGCTCTGATTTTCTTCATCTGAAATAGTGAAAAAAAAATAAGGGAAAGAGACGGCCCATATTTCATGGAATATTTCATGGAGTAAGGATCTAAAAGTGATTTCCTCTGCAATATAAAGTATTTTTTGCATATTTGTTAGAAGTAATATATATCCCTCTGTCAAATTTGGCATCCAAATGATTGCAGTGAGCATTTATCTTTTTACTTATTTGAGCTATTGTTTTTCATCCATGTACACAATACTTTTGATGTCTCTAAATAAATGTTAATGATGATTAAAATGCCAGAGTTTGTATGTTGTTCCATGTGTGAACAGCTGTGTGGCCGTTACTGCAATCCTCCCATATGGAGAAAGTGTTTAGTTAATGGCCCTCAAATGGCTTTAGATGGTTTAAATGCTACTGTAAAAGCAGATGGTGCTAACAGTTGTGTAATGCCTTGTGGCCCACTGTAATCAGTTTTTACTTAATCTACTGTATATTAGGGGTGTAACAATTCTCCAAATCAAAAAGTTTGGTTCAGACCTTGTTTTGTTTTGTTTGTTTGTTCTGTTTTTTTTGTTCCCACAGTGCTGACTTGAGTCTGGGGGTGGTCTGCAGTTTTAGGGTCATTATCCATCTTGAGCTAGTTAAACTAGCCTAAAATTTACTGTAGGTGTTATCACTCTATCATGACTGGACCAAAACGATCATGTGACACACACAGTTGGAAGCCAATAAAATAGGTGCAATGTCTAATATTTACATATTTATGCTTACTTTAAATAGAATAATGATTTACATGTGTAATAGTGTTAATTGTGAAATGAAAAATGAGTTTTGCTACATTAGTAACGTAATCAAAGTTCTGCTACACCTGTAGTGGTGGCGGTGAATTGGGGGATGGGATGAGAGTTGCAATTCTGTCTTTCAGTATCGCAACATGAGATCATGGTTATTTGTATCCGGTTGTAGAAGTGACTCTAAAACTAAAACTAACTGCACATTTACTTCATGCATGTGTAACATTATTCTATGCATTTATGATGTTTTTGGACTCTGCCAACTTTACAGGAACTTTTCATCGTCCAGGCAAAAGTGCTTTAATGTCTCTTGTATAAACCAGTCGTTTCTTGGGTCTGTGTTTGCAGACAGTTCTGCTGCAGAAGTTCTGATCTGTATGGTTTTTCTTATTCCCTCACCAGGCGTTCAAGGAAATGCTGTATGCTGCCCAGGACCAAGCTCCATCCATAGAAGGTAAGGAGACTCCCTGTTTGCATAAACAAACCCAGACACACACACCCACCCACGGATACACACTTCTGTACCCACTGCCCCCTGCTCAGGGCCTGTTTGGGCATCCCCAGAATAACAGCCCTTCATCTACTAAAAGTAGGCAGTCACTGCTAACATGCTGTCACTCACTCCACGGTCTCTGACTAAACCAGACCGCAGCCAATTACCAAATCATTACCTTCAACCTCACTATCCTCGCTAACCTGTTTGAAAAAAAGTGAAACTGTTTGTGGTTGTTGTGTACTAACTGTTGCTAAAATGATGTTTTGCACCTTGGAAACTGCCTGGATGCAGTAACCTATGTGGTTTGAAACAACATCCAAATAATTTGCAGCAGTGTTCTGCAGCATAATACACCAGAGCTGGAGGACAGTCTTGAGTGGTGCTACTCAACATAGCAAAGATAAGGAAGGCCTCTGGCTATAATTAAGCTCTGGCATTAGACTGCAAGTGATGTGTAATGAGGGAAAGAATGTTAACCATTTGTTTTTATTTTAGATACCGGTTAGTGGAAGTAAACAACTTTATTTAGTTGCAGGCTGGAGACGTACATTACGATGTGGTGACATGCAGCTCTGCCTATGTGTCTGAGAACGTGTCAGGAGAGTGTGATGGAGTACAAAAAACAGGGCTTGTTCTGAAATATGGCTGCTCGAGAGTGACCCCTGCCATGCTTGCATGTCGGTCTTATGATTTGGCGAGCGTGTGTGCTTGGGCCCAAATGAGTGTGTGTGTGTGTGTGTGTGTGTGTGTGTGTGTGTGGTGGTGGTGTGTGTTGTGTGTGTGTGTGTGTGTGTGTGTGTGTGTGTGTATGGTGATAGATTTTTTTTTTGTGTTGTGCAACATGCCCCTCACAGAGCTGCGACTCCCTGTGCTCAGTTCCAGCTGAGCAGGCTTGATGTGGATGGGAGTATGATGTGATTCTATCCAAAGATGACTGTGTGTTACCAAGATGTAATACACAATCATTGAGTGTGTGGATGACACAACTCTGCCTCTGCATGTGTTAGTAAGCTTCAGGCACAAAGATCAGTTCCAGCCGTTTGTTGACTTTATTTTAGACTGCAGTAGGTGAGAAAGGAAAGCCTCAGGATTGTTATGTAAAATATTCTATGAAATGTGGTTCAAGTGTGTATATTAATGCTCATTGGCTTTGTTTGCATAAGATCTTGTGTGCATGTTTATGTTTCCATTCGTGTCACTTGTTCCTAAAAGTACATTTAATACTTCTACAGAACACGTCTTGTTCAGTGATAACATATGAGCTGTGTCTCCTTTGAGCGCTGTCTCCAGAGGCTGTTAGTCAGGCTAGGAAAGCTCAACATGGATGATAAATCATTTCCTGTCTCAGGTCTGAGCTGTGCTCATGGGTCACAGCTCTGCTTCTGTCAGCTTGTGGCAAGATAGGTGAGCGTGTCTTATGAATAGAGACGGGATCAATCAATCAGTATCAGTCTTGTATTGTTGTGACGTTTCAACATTCCTCACTCGTTATATTTGATTTGTGTGCTTTTCACACTTTTTACACAGTACAGAATGTTATCAAAACACTAAAGCAGGCAAGTGCAAAGACAGGAGTATCAGCAGTGGCATTTGGAGAGAAGAAATCTTTTAATGAGTCAGACAGTTGTCTGTCCTTTTTGGCGATTATATGTGAAGTAATTAAAACAGCACCAAAATGAAGACAAACAATATTATTGAGCCCTGTCAAGAACACTCTCCTGTAGCTGAGGTTTGTTGACTTTTCAGAGAGAGAGAGACAAACAGGATTAGCAGGTGTTATAAAATTCAAGCTTACTGCAGCACTTTCTCTTCAGATTTGCTAGACCCAGTCTTTCAAATCTGATTGAATTTAAACTGGGCCACAACGATATCTGCAAAAATGTACTGCATTTATATGGTATTTTTCTGCTTTAGTGGACAAAGCACTTTACAATTTGCCTCCCTCTCCGTCACTTATTTCCACACACACATGCACATTGATGGTGGCAGAGCTGCTATGCAAAGTGCTGGAGCATCAGGGGCAATTTGGGTTCAGTGTCTTGCTCAAGGACAGTTTGACACGTAGACAGCAGGAGCCAGGGATTTAACCAACAACACTGTGATGAATAGACAACCTACTCTCCTGTCCTGCTATTTCACATCATCTTTTTTAAAAATCCAACAAAGATCAGACACAGTACAGATGATACAGATCAATTGTTCAGTGTATAAAATTATAATTTCCTGAAGTCCAAGGCGATGGCTTCACATTGCTTGTTTGGCCCAACTAACAGTCCAAAACACAAAGATATCCAGTGTACTGTCACATGAGACAACCAGAAACCAACTAATTCTCTCCCTCAATAAAAAGTATAGTTTGCTGACGCAATACACTTTAAGGCAGATTTCAAACCTTGCCTTCAGTGAACAGCTTATTATGAGGAGTTGATTCAAATGCACGTTCCGCTCTCTCTCCCCTTCCCTCCCTCTGTGTCCTGTCTCGTACAAAAAGCAAGGTTTTTGGTATTCAGAAGATGTTTCCCTTGCCTGAGGGAGACCGTTTACTGTGTTATAACTACTTGCTCACCCACTCTGCTCTCTCACTGGAAACCCTGCTGTACCTGATAGAGCTGTGTAGTAGATAGACACAACTCTGAACAGGCACCACTTCAAAGCCTCTGTCAGGGTGTCGGCGTGTGTCATTGTCAGAATTTCACTACACATGGCCAACAACGGCAAAAAAAAACGTATAATGTTTATGGTTTGATCTCTCCATAAGTGCATAATTGTCTCTCATGCTGTGTTATGGGTTGCAGTACTAGTGTGGCTTTTGTTTAAACAGACATTACCCAATCAGCACCTCCACCACAGAGCCTCTGTGGGAACATACCACAGAAAATACACTTTGTTCAGCACCATTCAGTTTCAACAAGATGAAGGCACAGTAATTATGGGAGGTTGATGCAAACAGACATGCACCAACACATGCACATTATGGTGTCTCTGCTGTTGCATGTGACCCTTCACCCCTCGTTTAGATCCTTTGTTCTTGTTCCCTTTGTCCCTCTGTTGGTCCTTGTGTAATTGTAATTAAAACACGCCTGTCACTGTTACATGGAGAGCCAGTGGAAGACAACAGCAAGAACAGCTGGTTGGGTCTCTGGCCCCCCCCCCCCGTTCCAACCATTAGAATGAGTTATTTCACAATCTAATTCAATTAGCCTGTTGATTATTACAGATATCTGAGAACAATGGCCCCAGATAATAAACACACAGCTTTAACGGGAACTGTGCGTGCGTGCGTGTGCCCATAGTATTTTAAGTAATGTTCATATACTAGACTTATACTAGAGATGCCATATGTAACAATATTTATATTAAGCAATTTTCTAATCCTGCAGGGGGCTGAGCCTTTACACTGCAAGTCATTCATTTGCTGTCTCATTCATCCATCCATTCATTCTTTCATTCATTCATTCCTTCATTCATTATGTCCTTCATTCTGTTGCTCTGTAAATGGTCAGTTACTGTGATGGTATCTGTGTAGGGTTGGGGCAAGGGGGAGCTGTGGGAAGATGGTCGTGATGGCACTGTTAGATTCACGCAGAGAGTAAGGGTGGGGCTCATGTGTAATACTATGAACACACACGCCTGCACATGCACACATACACACACACACACACACACACACACACACACACACACACTGTCTGAGGAGGGGGATGGGGTGGCTAAGAGGACCAGAGAATGGATTTTCCTCTGAATCATTTTTGGATTTCTGGACATGAATGAATCAGACCCCCCAAAAAAGAAATCAATGAATGAATAAGGAATGGATGATTTCTTGTGTGACACTACAGTCTATATTATATAGTAAAGTAAATGAAATAGTAAAGTAAATGCCTACCTTATTTTCACTACTGTCTTGTGGCTTAGGCGTCAGTTGCCATATCCCTTTAGGGCTTTTCATGTTTTATGCAGTCAAATCAATAATGGTATAAAAGCTGCAGTGTGAAAACAGGATGCTCGCTGTATTTCTTTGTGTGGCAATGAGTTGAGTTACCATTTCCATTAATAAGAAATGTGATAGTATTTACTAAAAAGTTTTTGTGGCCTCTTATTTTTTGTTTTTATCAAGCTTCAGCAGTAAAGTGTTTTATTGTGTTGAAGTATCTGCTTTGATTTAAGGAGTCCCAACCTGAACGGCCAAACTTTTAACCTTCTATGATGTTCAAATCAAGCTTCAGTTGATGCACAGTTTCTTGATCTCATAATGAATTTTGTGACTATAGCCATGATAGAGATGGGTGGTATGGCCTTTAAATAATGTTGTGATATTTTTAGGCTATATTTCAATACACAATATATCTCGATATTTTGAAATCTCCTCTAAAGCATTTCATAAATGCACAATATAACCCTTTGATGCATAAAATTAGTATGATGATTCTGGTCCCTGCAACATTTGTCTGCATTAAAACATTCTTGTTTATTGTAAACTCATTAGTGGTTTCTAACAACTTGAAACAATTGCACACAAAAAGGGGGAAATCACTACCAAGTTAAATTTGACCCTTAACAAAAATAGAGCTCAAAGCAACAAAAAAGAACATTCAACAAGAATCCCTGAGGAAGACCTTTAACCCTAACTCAGTGCTGTTTCCTTTCCGAACCAAAACTCGCTTTGACACTTCACTTATTTCACTCTTTCCAGTTCTCTCTGCTCCAGGGCGGCGAAGTGTGTTATCTGTGAGAGGGAGACAGCCATAGGAGAGAGCGAGAGAAGTGAAACGCCAAAGGGAATTTCATGCCGATGGCTTAAAACAATTAGATCTACAAAAAAATAGTCATTCACATCCCACGTGGAACAAGTCGCAGTGCATCCATTATATATTATATTGCCCACCCCTACAGACATGATCTCTGCCATGTCTCATTCAATCCACAACCTCCTCTGCATTTTGCTGAGTGTGAAACTG